TTGCAAAGCTTCGAAGTCCCAGCTTCATTAGTAGCCGATATCCACTTAAAGGGTTTGTGTACCTAGGTCAAGAGGAAATCTATTTTGGGTCAACGATGTGCTGTAAAGTAACTGTAAGATGATTATGTCATATACAATTACTTCTTCTTGACCAAAACGTGGTCCAGTGGGGAAGGCCTTCGTCCAACAGTGGACATTCAACGGCTGAAACTGACTAAGTATCGTTGACATTCTCAATATCTTTATTTCAGGGCTGAGTTAATTCCCACTCTCCAGACAACTTGTATGTTGGACTGTTTGGCTACAATCAAGACAACAATCTCTTATCTGCAGAAACTTAGGGCTGAAGATAGTCTGCCTCAAGTGTTTGACCAGCTAAGTTTTTCATCTTTCAAAAACCAGACTATTGCTGATCAAAAAGCCTGCAATAATGTAGCTGGTTCTAAAGCTGTGAAGCCCTTGACAGATCTCTTGATGGACTTGTTGCTTGATCTTACTTCGTTGATGTGTGACGGTATGTAATGTTATTATCATTATCAGTTGCAATTTTAAAAAGAGAAAAAAAAATTATTGATCTCGTTTTTTAGCATTTCTACCACTAGTATTAGTAACAAGTGAATCTTGATTCATTCTGCAATTGCTCAAAAAACGTCATGGTTAAATCAGTTTTTACTGAATAAGCAGGAGCACGTTGACTTATCAAGTTTGAAGTTGATAGACATGACATTAGATATAAATATATATACATGATATTAGATATAAATATTATTAACAATAATTATTATTTTCATTACCTTTTTTTCTTGAAGAAATGTTTTTTATGGATTGTCGGAGCACAGCAGGAATGGCGATCCTTGTTGTTCTTAATATACTGTGTTCTGCAGAGAACTTTGTGACCACAGTAAGTTATATAATTATTATTCACTTTAGTTACAATTACTGAAAACTACACAACATTGTACAACAATTAGCTTAATAGAAAGGCAAACCCTATAATAATAAGTAGTATTACGCGCCCACTGGGCCTTCAAAGAATGCCGCCTTTGCCGCTATTGTTCTTAGTTGTCAATCAAAGTTAATGTATTCAATCAAAAATTCAAGATGGCGGACTCGCTCGGAGAGCGCTCGAGTAGTCGTTGTTATTCTAAGTAGAGAATAACTTAATTTATATATGTGGATGAAGGTCACCACTCACACTTGTGGGACAGAAATTCTGTCCCCTGCGCAGTACGCATGCATAGTGGACTACGCATGCGCAGCAGCGAATCTTGAGTAAAAACGTTCTGAAATGTTTTTGTAAAATATCTTTCCAAACGAAAAAATTTTTATCGACTCTACCAGGACTTGAACCTGGAATCTCCTGATCCGTAGTCAGGCGCCTTATCCATTCGGCCATAGAGTCTCTATAAAAGAAAAAGAAGGCATAGCGAGGTTTTGATCCTCGTACCTTCGGGTTATGAGCCCGACGCGATCCCCATTTCGCTACCATGCCGCTACGAACCTTTCAAAGAAAAATAAAGACCTAAATACCATGGTTATAATGAAGAAGTATTTTATTACAGTGTTTTAAGATATCGTTGGCATTTAGCGCATCAGAAATTGATGTCGCCAACCATATTATCATAGATCAAAGTCTTCTCTGCTTTTTTCACTTCTTTCTTTTCAGCGTCTCTCTTCTTCTCTTTTTATCGTCTCTTTATCTCTTTTCTTTTAAGGGTTCGAATATACTCTTTGAGTGTGAGAATGTGAGTTTCTTTGAGTTTTAAAACAGCCTTAAGATGTTTTACTTCAGCTTGACAGCCAAACCAAGCTTCCCCGAGTTCCTTATCCGTAGACATCTTCAAAGTGTGTGAATTATAAAAATGTGAACGAGAGATTTATTGACGCGTTCCACTCAGTGGTTTCGTATGCTAATTCACGCGCGCTTCAAAAATTTGCATGTAAACTCGCTGAGTCAGCTAAAATAATTTTGCTCCTATGTCTTAGAAAGAAAAAAGAAAGACCTGAAAGAGAAAGAGAGAATCGAACCCGTGAGCTTAAACGCATTGAAAATTTACCTGGCGTCAGTACTAATGTGTAGCGCTTTGCGCTACGCACGTTCCCGACGAAAGAAAAAGAAAAAATAAACAAGTCTTTCAAAACTTTGCTATCTGTGTATTGGATACGAGCTTTTAATCATGTGGTGGTTCTTAAAAGAACCGTTTGTGTGTTCGTCAAAAGACGATTAGTAGAATTTGTTTTTTCTACTTAGAAATTGAGAATAGAATCCCCAGGTGAACGGGTAGGCCCTCTGTTTCAAAGGGCGAAGCCATCGTTGAAAATAAGATTTTTTTTCCATCTTAAAACAGATTTCAAAACAAAAGAGTCCAACTTGAAAAAGAGTGAAAAGTGTATTTGTTTTTTGCCGCTAACCTTTAAACTTAAAAGCGAAGCGAACTTTTTAGGCGCTAAGGTTTAAACTTGAAAGAACGGCGAAAAGTTAATTGGTTTTTGCCGCTAAACATTTGTTTTCGCCGCGCCAGTGAGCGTGAATCTCGCATGAACAGCATAAATGAAGGGTGGATTTGCGAAAGTCACTTTGGTCTGCTCACCACCGTGTAAAGATATTGATCTGCTTTGCTGTTTTTGAAGATGAAGACTCTATATCAGTTGGCGTTCGAAGCTGCTCCCAATCCGGGATTAATGGCTGAAACTTTCCTTGTGCCGTGGCACCCGATTGCAAAAGAATTGCAGGAGCGACAATATGCTGAGGACAGAAATCGGTAGAGGGAAGAACATCGAATAAACTTCAGGTGTGTATACGAAGAATTGTTGTTTATCGAAGCATGGTTTTCAAACTCAAAAATTTACCCTAGCGATGTTGCGTTTTTAGACCGATTGTGGAATCGCTGTTTTGGATTAGAGACTGCACATGGTTAAGTGTGAAGACCAAATGCTGTATGATTGAACTATAAAAACGTGTTTTTAAACGTGCTTGTTTATGTTTATTTCAGAAATTGTTTAAGCCAGCTGAAAGTTAGAAGATGGACCATGTACTGTCATAAAATAGAATGGATTCAGGTTAATTTTTGGGCACCAGTGTGTTCGCATTGTAGAAGAATTAGGACAACGGGATTAACGTTAGACGGATTGCGTTTGAAAAGGCAAAAGAAAGTTTTTGACAAAAATGAGGAGGCGCGTTCAATTCGTCTTTTTTACTATACACCTATTCGTAGACGCTTAGAATTTATGTACGTTGAATTTCCTTTTCTTTTAGAAAATGTTTGCGAGAAATTAAGAAGCGACATTGTTGTAGTTCAGTGCAATGGCTTTCTTTTTCCCAAGAAACTTGTTCACAGTGTTTGAGAATTTGTGTGGAAGGATTGACGGTGGAAGGACAAATGCGGCATGATAGATATGAAGCTGTTAATTTTGAAAGGGAACGTCGTAAAATCTTTAAGTTATATAGACGTACAAATGTTTTACAAAGGCGCAGAGCGCTTGAGCAAAGAATAATGCAATCTTTTGGTTTGTTTTGTAGAGAAGCTTTACAAGATATTCGTTTTTTACCACGCAATCCGTTTACGGAGTGGCTTGAAATAGACCGACAAAAAACTGATTTTCATATCACTGTTTTAAATGTAACCATTGATGATATAGATCTTATTGACGATCCTTTCTTTCCGCATTTTGAATCAATGATCGAACGCTTTGAGCGAACGTACGCTCACTTAAAATTAGAATTTCCTTGGTTTTTTCACGATTATCATGATGACTTTTTGGATCAGATCCATTCGGGTTCTGACAAGTTCCAGATTGTAATTAAGAAAAAAGTGCTTTGAAAAGGACTTAGCCGACTAGCGGTTAAATACGTTCCTCTCACTGCACTTACTAAGAAATTTATTGTAACATTTTACCGAAGGGAGGTAAAATGAAAATAAAGTTAAGTTTGTGTGTAATTTACTTGTGTCTTTGGGAAAAAGAATGAACTGAGATTGTCAAATGAACGCTCAGGTAGGGGAGGGTTTCTTAGAAAAATGAACTGAGAATGTCAAATGAACGCTCAGGGAAAAAGAACAAAGATAACATCAATTGTAGCTGAATCAGCCAAAAAATTAATTAGAAAAAAACAAAGATGACACTAATTGTAGCTGAATCAACCCAAATATTTAATTAGGCAGCCTTGGGCAACCTTGAACAACCTTGAAATGGTCATTAGAACGTTCTTTGTCCATTATGACTTAATAAAAACCGAAGCACGTACTCCACAGCTAATTTAACTAAGTCGCGTCTCTCAAAGCGTCATTCAGTTTTTACTGTCTTACTGAGCGGAGCTTTTCAAAACGGTCTTCTATCTTTTCAAAACGTAAAATGGATCCTTACATTCGTGCTTTGATGGAGGATGGTTTAAAAGAGGTTTTAGCAGATGAGTTACAATGGATGGCTAGTCAGGGAGAGGAACTCATGGATTCGGACGACGAAGCCAAACTGTTAAGCGCTGCTCGCCGAAGCGATCAGCAAGGAGGTAACCCGCTCTTTTGCACTAACATGGAACGACTCGGTGCTCCTCGCAGTTTTCGTAACGGAGTAGCAGTGCAACATCACGTTCGTTTTAGATTAAACCAAATGCGGGCTCCTAACGGGGATCCTCAAGGCGAAGCGGTCGCCGAAGCCCTTAGACAAGGATTAGAGAATTATGTTCGTCGTGAGCAAATCTATCCTGTCGAAGACTATTCGCTAAAGATCTCGATTCACCATAGCACCGGAACATACACATGGATCAGTTCACCTATTCTTCCTCTGGCAGACTGGCTAAACAATCGTGAACAAACAGAAACGTGGTTAGATAAACTGGCCAAGCAATTAAACTCGGCTGAGAGCTTCGACGCTGCAAGTGGTGACTTTTACGCGGAGCTGCTCTTTTTTAAAAATCGCCAACGTGGAAGCGGGCATCGTGGAAAAAAAGGAAACCCCGGCGCTATGTCGTATGAACAGATACTAAAAAAGAAACATTGTATTGTCTATTGCCTTCTTTTTTTTCGTTCCTCACTCTGGGATTTGCGTGTACGTCTTCTTATAGCTTTGAGACTCTCTCTGGCTAATTCACCCGGACTTTTCCAAGGAGATTCGCCTACCTGGTCTGAAAACGGTAATTCTGTGGCTAATTCTTCCGAAGATTTTTCAGCTGTCTTTTGAGGGGTCTTGTAAACAGACGAAGGAGATTTTTTCTTTTTAGGTGTCTTGGGTAAGAAACGCTTTCCTTTCGACCCTGTCTTAAAGGACAACTTGGGTTTTTTACTGGTAGAAGGAGTTTGTTTGACAACAGGTGTTTGTAAAACTGATTGAGGGGTCATCGGTTCGGCTTTCCTTTTTATAGCCTTACTGATTTTTGAAATGTTTCCCATAAATTGTTGTAATGGTCCTACGGCTAAATTTCCTTCATCCTCATCACTGTCCTCTTCATCGCGACTTATCCCTCGCGTTCCTCCTGGTTGACGAATTTTCTTGACCCATTGTTGTAATTCTCGGTTGACTGATTTTAAACGGGGTTCTTTCCATTTATCCGGCGCAGGACTCTCCAACAAAAGTTCTTTTTGAGCGGCTAAACCCGCTGCTTTTGTTAAACGACTATCGTCTAAAAGATCGGATTTGTATTTATCTCGCAAACCTAAAAATTGCACTGAGTTTTCAATCGGTGTGGATGAAATGCCGTCCATGCTTGCTAATGAAAATAAGAGTTAAGCATTGTCTTTATATCTGTTTGGGTCTGCATCTGTCTTTGAGTTTTTGTCGAAACTCTTTGATAAATTGTGTGAGCAGAAGCAGGTGGTCTAATAGACACAGGAGTCGTTGTAAAACTTATCGATTCATGACTTAATAGCGATATTGCCTTTTAGCACAGTGATAACAGCGATGTAATTCTTTCCACGCACCGGCACCTATCTGTGTACTCATCAAGTGTTTGCGCTTTTTTATACTCTGACGAGGGTTAGCAATGACTCGGAGAGATTGACGATACGGTTTTAAACAACTCACTGTTTTTCTCCCAGGTTTGACACTCCCACGCAACATGTTCATCACTAATTCACTCACGGTATTAATTTGATCTGTATTCGGATACGGTAATTTTTGTTGCCGTTTATTTTGGTTGGCTTCTTTTAACACATCGTTTAAAAAATGACTTTGTCTGGTCATTCGCCCCGTCATGTTTATTTCTTTCTTCGTGTTGGTTGGCGTCTCCTCCTTTTATACTTCTTTTTCTCTAACACTTGGATCGCTTTCCTAGCACCATAATTCGTCAATGCACTTAAACCTCCTAACGCTGCCGCTTTTCCTCCAGCTGCTAAAGCTGGATTCGCTGCGGCTAACATGGGAGCAATCCCTCCTCGTTGTCTTCCTACCCTCGGTTTACCTTTTCTTCTTTTTTGTTGTCCTTTTCGTTTCATGTTTGGATTTGCGTTTGTTTGAGAGTGAACGGCTATTTATATCTTCGTCAAAGGTATGAACACGCGTGGCTCCCTCTTCTTTGGTTAAATGACTCCAAATGCGAAAACAGTCGTCTGAAGCAGGATGTAATCCAACATAAAATACCCAAAAGGACGGGCGGTCAGCTTTAAAAACAATTTGAGTACTTGACGCCATTTTTCAGGGTACACCTGGAGTAGTAAATGTCGAATGCCTGTCTTATCCCTGGGTGATTTAAAACAAATCACATAATGAGCATTGCGGTTAATGGTTTTCGCAAACTTGCCCGGGGGAAAGAGATCTTGTGTAATATAAAGAGCGGTAATGCCTCGATGGTGAGAATCTTTCGTAAATAAATCCAACACACGCTTATCACTCCCCGATTCTTCCATTAAATGATCCAAAATGAGTATGCCATGATGCTCTGGTTTAAACCATTTCACGAGAGCCCCTTCAGGAGGAAGTCCTTTGTAAAAAATAACGTTTTTTCATGCGATCAAATCGGGGTTGCCATCGGTCATAACAATACACTACTTTTTTCGGAGGAGGGTCAAACAATGTTTTTTCTTGGAGTAATTTTTCCACTAATTCACTTTTCCCGCTACCTGAGGGACCCGCTACAATCACGCTAACAGGTTGTCGAATCATTTTCGCCGTCTGTAATGTTGTACGTTATCTTTTATACCTTTCAGAGCTTGTTTCCCTAAAAAGGCCCCTAATTTGATAAAACTAGGAGAAGGACCAGACAACCCCATGGTTACACCTTCTGCAATTTTATCCACCAGACGTGGTTTTCGTCTAAATCGTGCACCCCCTTTTTGACTTTTTCGTTTTTTTAGGACTCTACGATGCCTTCGTGTTCGCCACATAGTGTTTGATACAATCGCGGTGAGTTCAACTGAATGAGTATTAGTATCTGATCTTTTAAATGTGTTTCACCTATTCCTTTTATGTGATTTGTGACCACAACTTAGCTTGCACTAAACATCGTACAAATTGCCAATGATACCCATCCCACAGTTCCGCTGGATCAAGACAGAGTCTGATCCATTCTTGTTTGTGATCTTTCCAATAAGACCATTCTTGTTCTAACAACGCGTTCAACACGTTTTGAACATCACCCCGTAGTATCATGATAGAAATAAAACCACACCAACATGCGTTACACATTTTTATTAATGAAAAAAAGAAGAACGGTTTACATTAGATTGCTCATACTCTGTCAGCTCTGTTTTAATGAGACGTTGCAGTTGGTCTGCGACTCGCCTATCATTTAACACTAAATTATTGGAATGCCACTGAGCTAAAAAATCTTGAAAAGACACATGTCTGACTCTCGCTTTTAAAAAGAAAAGGGCATAATGCCCACAGGTAAAACTATCCATGGCTTGTAAGGGATGATTGCTACGAATAATGTCTTTCCACTGGTTCAACCAAGCTTGTAAGGTAGGGTTTTTGTAGGTAGATAGTGGTAACCCATAACTGTCAAAGACTTCACATTTATTTCCTTTGGTCCAAAGTGCTAACCAATGTTCACCGGGTTGACTTGCGGCATCGGTGTTGACAATAAAAGCATTCACTCGTTTCTTAGACACGGAAGGTAATTGGTCTGCCGGAAACACACCACGAAAATAGGGTCGTAATTCGCGATCGTCTTCTGCCAAGTAACGGAGGACTGTATCACTGAGAGGTACGAGCTCCATCCTAGGTGTTGATGGAATAAAGAATTCCTCCCCACTGGTCTATTTCATAGACATTTTCATACTCACTCCAAATTATCACTGTCACATTGTGACCTACATTGGCTCTGAAGTCAATTTCATAACTGACATTCCCCGTGAGTTTAGGATTTCTATAGCTAGGATCATCGGCATCCCCTGGAGCATTGTTAAACATGAACAAGGTACAATTGTTGCCTTGTCCCCAGTCGCTTGGGAGCAGCATGGGTACCCTGTGGTGCTTGTAAGCGCCTGACGCTGTGAGGAAGCGATCATAGCCTACTAAATCTTCTGCTTTGGAATGGCCTGTTAGTTCCAAGGCTCTGTAAGGGTATTCTTCTCCGTCAATTCGTTGTCGAACTCTGGTGACGCCAAACTTTTCATAGGCATAAGGGTAATACTTCAGACTTCCATTGTAATTAGTGGAATTCATGAGTCCGATAATGACTTTGACAGGAACCTTGTTCAAGAAGATATTGTCCTGAGACCAACGAGTGCTGTTTCCATCGAACGAATACGTTCGGATTTCACTTCGAACTACAGGGTAGCGGACTTTTTTGGTTTTACTTAAACTTCTTTCTTTTTGTAGCCTGGAATACACAGAGGCATTGAGCGTGACAAACAAATCATTGTCTCCCAGAGTTGGAATCTTTTTGTTGACAGTCGTAGTCGTGTCTGGAGTACCAAACAGAAACATGTTGCTGTCATTCAAATACAATTCCAAATCAATCTGCACGTTAGGAACCAAACATTTGCCGGTTTTGAACACCGCGATGTGGGGTTTGATGATAAAGGTATGATACGCTTTGCCGAGTAAGCGACTGGTGAGTGCTTTCGACCCTGTTTTTCCACTCCAGTCGTTGGGGTTGGGTTTATCATTAGTGTCTGCATTGGTAGGGGTTAATTCTTAAGGACATTGAGTTCATTCACCCATCCTTGAGCTGCCAAGGTCGTTTCTCCTTCTTGACGATTAAAATTCTGTAGGGTTTCTAGGTAAGCTTTCTGGTGATAGGCATTGCTTTGTTCTGTCATCAACACTCCATTGAAAGACACATTCATTTGATTAAAGAGAGAATGATCAAAATTGTTGACGCAATAGACATATTTGGTATCATTACCATCCGAAGCCCCTCTTTCATCATTGGAAAGTCCTCCTGTCCCTGTGGTGTTCATACGCACTTTGATTTCTAGCTTGGTTTCATTCAAATCATAATAATCATTTCATTCAAATCATAATAATCATCTCCTGCCGGTACAGTAAAAAGAATAGGACGTGTTCCAGTATTAGCCTCTTTGAAAGGAATCCACCGTTTGGCTTCATACCTATAGTCAATGTTGGGAATGTCAAACAGATTCAGGGACATGTTGACGGACTGATAGCTTAACATCGTTTGCGCTGTCTATTTATACGTTTCCGTCCTTTGTTTTTCCAAGGGGAGATGACTGGATGCACTTTCCCTCCTTTTGGTTTTCTTACTCTTCTTGCAATCCATGGATCTATTTCATACGGTTTATAATTAGTGAATCCCCATGGGTTGGGAGGTTGTCTAAAAATAGTGCCTCCACATTGATAAGGTAAATGGTAACGACCTATAGATCGTTGATGCCTTATGTGAGATTGTGATTTTTGTCCTTGTCTCACGGTTTACACCCCTAAAATGTCTTTCACATGTTGTCGTTTCTTTTTTTGTCCCTGTGGTGTTCATATGCACTTTGATTTCTAGCTCGGTTTCATTCAAATCATAATAATCATCCCCTGCCGGTACAGTAAAAAAGAATAGGACGAGTTCCAGTATTAGCCGGTTTGAAAGGAATCCACCGTTTGGCTTCATACCGATAGTCAATGTTGGGAATGTCAAACAGATTCAGCAACATGTTGACAGACTGATAGCTTAACGCCGTTTGCACCGTCTATTTATACGTTTCCGTCCTTTGTTTTTCCAAGGGTAGATGACTGGATGCACTTTCCCTCCTTTTTGTTTTCTTACTTTTCTTGCAATCCATGGATCTATTTCATACGGTTTATAATTAGTGAATCCCCATGGGTTGGGAGGTTGTCTAAAAATAGTGCCTCCACGTTGATAAGGTGAATGGTAACGACCTACAAATCGTTGATGTCTTATGTGAGATTGTGATTTTTGTCCTTGTCTCATGGTTTACACCCCTAAAATGTCTTTCACATGTTGTCGTTTCTTTTTATAGGTTTGTTTGGCTTTGGTTTTCACAGCCAGACCAATCGCTGCTGGTATTTTACGTTTGAGTCCTCTTTTTAAGACTTGTCCAATTCTTTTCCATAAAATCTTGGGCAGAGTTTCTTTTCTTCAAAACAAGGAAGCAAAAATTGAGTGTTTAAAGGACCGTCAGGACCGCCAAAATCTACGTTCATCATTTCAAGATCTTCTTTACACGTTTCACAAGCCATCGCCACAGAGAATGTGATTTGAACAGAAATTGGCCCAATTTTATAAGACTCCTAAGGTCCCTAGGGTATTGGGCAAGAATGGGCAAGAATCCCCAAGGGTGTTAGACAAGTAAAGACACGTTTTTAATCGGATCACAATGTTTAATGCTTTCATTTTTACAGTTTTAAGGAAATTTAAATCCTCCTTCTTCTACTTTTGATCGTTTCTCTAACTGTAATCTTTCTTGTACCATCTTATGTATTCGTTTCTTGAGAGCTGAGGGTGTAGAAGCTTTAGGGACCTTAGCAGGTTTAGGTGCCTGGTGAATCCACTGAAAGTAATTACATCTGGCTTCTCTCTCTTTAGGGTAGCTTAGGAACACTTTGTTTGGATTTCTTGCTGTTTGACCCAGCTTGAGTCTAGGCACTAATCCACAATGACAGGCAAAGGTTCCCCATTGTTCATGGATTTTGGGATGAATGCTGTTACAAATGGTATCCAACACTGGCTGCTTGCTGTCTGCATTGCCAAAGTACACTGGGCATGTATAACAAATGGCAAGTCCTTGTTCAGGCAGGACAAAGTTGGTATGCAAAGGCTTGCTTGCATCCATCAGATATTCTTGCAAAGCCAGTTCTTCTAAATTAGGTACATCGAATTCCCCCTCTACAGGCCACCATTCCACTTGTCGACCATCTGGTAACACAGCGACTCCTTCTTCTATGATATGCACGGGAGCTAGGTCAGGTTGTGTTTCCATTGAACTTGGACCATTGAACAGATCTCGGCAGGCCTGCTGCATTTCCTCATAGGAAGGAAGTTGTTCATTGACAATCATTTGAGGTTCTGGGTCCAGGTATTTCTGCATCCTAAATTTATCACCTGTAGTGTAATGGGGTGCTGTCCATTCTTTTGTAAGAGGTTCTGCATTCTCAATCATTTGAGGTTCTGGAGTTTTTAGCACTGTTTGAACCACTTCTTCTCCCGTCTTATTTTTGGCTTTTCTGGTTTTCTTTTCTTTCTTGGGAGCCTCCATGTTAAACGGTGGTTCTTGCAGATAACGCATAGTGAAAAATCACATCAAACACACAGATTTATACTCACTTGACATGCCTTTGGGAATTGGACATGTCTGGGCAATGACGTCACTCATGTCACGAACTGGCACTAATCACACCCTTGGGACTTGAGCATGTTGGGGCAGGCTATAAAAGAGGTAAATTACCTCATTTCATTATTAAACAACATGACTCAGCCAAATGACAACTCGTTTTATGTGACGTTGACTAGTCAAAAAACGCAGGAATTTCTGGACAATTTACCCGCGCAGTTTCAATACCGTTTGCCTTAAACCTTATGGTTACCGGGCAAATGGAAAGTGGGTTTGGCAAGTGTGTTTTTACCTGGTGTTTCCAATCCCATTCCCCATGTTGTCACATCCCATGTCAGTTCCTCTCTGACGAAACATCGTGACACAATTCCTACCAAACCTTTCGGTATTCGCTCGATTCACAACCTGTACCAAGGGAGCGATACCGATATTTTATTTCAACAATATGCCAAAGCTTTCAAATCTAGTCAATCTCAAGAATTTTTGTCCCAACTTTAAACAGCAGATTTGCAAGATGCCTCCAATGGATTTGATTTTTTGTCCAAAGTTTTTTGGTGGATGGAACAAGATTTAAACAAAAAATTACCCACGGGGTATGAATTTGAAGACAGTAATGATCGGTGGAGAATAGATGTTTCTGCTCAAGATAATTACACGACTTGGCTGCTTCGACATTACAATATTGACAGTACTAACAGAAAAAGGGTGCCTTATTTAGCCATTAATTTGATCTTGGCTCAACAAATGGGATGGGTTGTAGAAACAGCTAACAATGTGTTTGCGGTGGGACCGAATTTACTCATGGAACTTCCAGATGGTATTTCTGGAGTAAAACCAGATCCCGCGACCTGTCTCAATGCAAAATTTACTTTTACTCAACCCATTCATGTAGTAAACGGATTGCTGTATCTTTGCTCCACGTTTAGTTGGCGCTTTGTGAATTTAAATGAAGCCTTTGACAAAGCCATTAATCAACCCTATGAAACCCCGAAAACAGTCTTGAATGTGTTCAAACCCTTGATGTCTAACCTTAAACTATGGAAAACGGTTCTTGGACTCGACTTGGACGATTACTTTGTCGACCTGCCTGTGTCTCTCCATTATTGGAAACCCATGACTCTGAGTGTGACTTTGTTAGAAGGGGTAAAAATTGTGGATGGGGTGTCAAGAGGTGAATACAATGGGGAACTGGACATTGATATGAGCTCGTTAACGCAAAACAACACTTACACTGTGGCTTTAGAATGGTATCAAAAAGATGTATGGTTGTTTAATCGTTCCAACTTTTTGGCAGAAGGTTCAGGTTTACCAGTAGATTACTTGTCGGTTCAAAAACATACTCATGAGCAAAACAAAGCCCATTTGATTTATTACCACACTCTTACCATTCAATTCACTAAAACTTCAAGTAGCTATGCAACATTAAACATCAAGTTTGAAATAGGGTATCCTCTGCCTGCATCCTACCCAAATCCTTTAAAGGACAATACTTTTTTGGTATTGTATGGAGTAGAGGGTCAGGTAGAACATGTTCCCGATGTGTATGATGATCACCCTGTCATACACTCTTCTCACACAACCACGGAAACAACGACTACCAGTACGGGGGACAAGAAAGCTTCTACACTTCCTAAATCTCATGGAACAGACAATTTACGCCATCTGTTTTTGTCTTGCAATTTAACCAAAAGCATTGATGGAAACAATACTATTATGAAAACTCTGCCTTATAAAAACAAAGAAACACTGATTGAATGTAACCCATTCAATTTTATTCCATGCGAAGTTATTTGGTGGACATTTTAGAAGTGACTGTGACAGAATGGAATAACATTATTCCCGACTTCAATCAGGATAGTCCAGTCATTGTCACTCTGTTTTTCAAGAAAAAACTGACAGAGTCTCAACGAAAATACATTCGGTTGGATGAATCAGTGGACCGTGACCTGCCCATATAAGCAGACACACTAATGTGTGTCTCATCATAATGTGTGAGATCGAGTGGATTAAGGTGGCTAGTAAATCTTTGAGGTATTGCGTGCATTTGCTACAACAAATCAAACATCTTAAGGNAAATACATTCGGTTGGATGAATCAGTGGACCGTGACCTGCCCATATAAGCAGACACACTAATGTGTGTCTCATCATAATGTGTGAGATCGAGTGGATTAAGGTGGCTAGTAAATCTTTGAGGTATTGCGTGCATTTGCTACAACAAATCAAACATCTTAAGGAAAGCTTGGAAAAACTACAAGAAGAAGCAACTCGACTCAAAACCTTAATACAAAAACTAGAGGAGGAAAATGGCTACGACACCGTCTACTAAATTGGAACAATTGTTAAGAAAAGTTCAACCTTGTCAATTTGCATCCTACCAAGAATTTATGCGAGCCTTGATGATTGAGACCTTGGCCAACGCCAACATGACCTTTGATCAATTGAATTACGACTTGTTTGCTTTGAACAGAGAGATATTTCATAAGCTGAACAAAGAAACCACGGCCTTTTTCAAGTTCTTGGCAAACAAACGACCTGATATAATATCCGACTCACCCTCAGGTTAAAAGCATTCACTATGCAACCATCAAACAGTCTAGACGACATTTTACAGCATATGGAACCTTCTCTACTAGAAGGTTACAAAATGTTTATGTATGAAGTCATTATTCAAGGCATCAGTTATCACAATCTTAATGTGGACACATTGAACCGTTATTTATTTGACTTAAACAAAGAAGTGATGGACGAACTTTGTGCAAAAGCTATTTCTTACTACGACATGCATGCACCAGGCAAGATCAAGTCCTTTGGGAATTGAACATGTGTGGGCAATGACGTCATTGCTCTTGTATAAAAAATCACGTTGGCCTCTACTCGTCAACACTCAACAGGATGGCTTTGACTGTAATCTCTGGTGGTGCAAATGGTGTGGATTAAGAAGCAGAAAAGTTAGCAAGACACTATGGTTTAAAGGTCGAAGTTCTCATTCCTCCTTGTCATCCCAGAAGAGCCTCCGTTCAACCCTTAACACATCTTCAATTAGCTGAAGCTATTCCTACAACAAGACAAGTCGCTGCACGCCTCAACAAGCAGTTAGAGAACCCTATCAGTTTACAATATATCCACTGAAATTATCATGTGGTGAAACAAGCTGATATGGTGCTGGCGCTCACATGCTTTCAACCTGAAAGTAACCTTTGCTTTGGAGGAACAGGATGGGCAGTAGAAATGAGTAAAGTCCTCAACAAAGTCCTGTATGTGTATGATGTGCAGCGAAACATTTGGTTTTGGTATAACCCTAACCAAGATTTGTTTTACGCGTGTGATCAGATGTCAAACGAGCAGTACGCTTTACCCACTCTCGTGACAAGAACGGCTATTGTAGGAGTCGGGAATGTGTACGATTACTCCGAGACTGTCTTGGAATTGCAAGAGACTTTTAAACGAAGTTTAAATCTACCGAAACAAGAATGCAAGAATGTTAAGGAACTTTGTAACACATTTAGTTTATTATCTATTTTATAAAAGTAACTTTTCATCTGAAATATTATCTCCTGTTAGATCATTTCGGAAGACTTCTTTAGGAGGAAGATTACTTTGCTTGCATGCAATAATTCCAACTTGGATAGTTCTGCTGACTCTTCTGCTTTCCGCTTGACTCCTTCGGAGTGAAATTTTTAACGTGAGCAACCATTTTATCCTTCCTCGAAATTAATGTCGAGCATCTAAACTGGCTCCTGAACCCAAGAACTGAAGAGAATCGAGGAATCTTAGATTTCCCAGCTGAAAAGAGATGTATTTTTCCATGTTGTTAATAACAAGAAAATAATACTTTTCCTTTATTGTTAATTACAAGAAAATAATAAACATTGTTAAACTGACTACTTTGTTGTGTGGATGTCTCGATAGTATAATGACTAGTATCTCTTCCAATCGCTTACAAAATAATTGGGACACTTAGAAAACGTTTCGGAACGTTTTACACAAGATTCGCTACTGCGCATGCGTTCTGCGCAATTTGCTAAGGGACAGACATTCTGTCCCACATGTTTAACCTCCATTCTTCCTTCCCATATAGTTAAGTTATTCTATACTTAGAATAACAACAACTACCCGAGCGCTCTCCGAGCGAGTCCGCCATCTTGAATTTTGATTGAAACATTAACTTTGATTGACAACTAAGAACAATAGCGGCAAAGGCGGCATCCTTTGAAGGCCCAGTGGGCGCGTAATACTACTATAATATACATAGAAGACCCTATCTATCAAGCTTACAACAAATTATTACATGTATAAATCCTAGCCGGGTTTGGTTAAGTGTTTGTTACTCCTTAGCAAAATGGTTTCTCCTAGATATAACAACTTGATAAAGAAACGAAATTCATTGGCAAGCTAGAGTTTCTTCACATTGATAACATTCTTATAACTAAATGAAGAAAAAAGAAGATAATATTCAGCAGGTTTGAGACGTGTTAATTTGATTTCCTTTTTAGGTTGGGCAGTTAATTTTCCCTTCACATGTTCCACATGGAGAAATACGTTTTTCAATCTTGGGCAACCTGAAAAAGTTGCCTGCATTTCAATGTTCTCAAGGTAGGAATGCTCACTCACTTTGTACTAAACCAGCCACACTTGACTGTGAAAATGACTAAACAAAATACATAGAATTTATTCTGGCATTGTATTAAACGTTGCTTCCATTCTATACCCATAAGCAGTACAAGGTTGAAAAACAAGGACAAGTGATTTGTCCCATAGTTAAAGAATACCAGGAACAACAAATCATACTCTCGTAATCACACACTAGCCTGTGTGACACTGTTCATTAAATAGCCGTAATTATATTTGTGAAGGTATTTTTGTGGTAAAAAAGCATCAGCTGGAATCATATAAATGTGTAATGATCACCCATTGCAGTTTCAATACGTGTCATCGTGGACGACATGAATAGAAT